ATTTAACTGCAAACAAGACATATATTATGTTTAGTGTGTGTGTGTGTGTATGCTAGATTTCAGGCGTGTCCTAAGGAATTCCACTTTAAGATCGTAAAAAGAGTTTCGAGGTATCTTAGTGGAACCTCGTATCACACTTTTTGATGTACCAAAGGAACTGAATGTAGCTTAGTAGGTTTTTCCGACTCTGATTTTAACAGTTGCAAATTGGATAGGAAAAAAACTAGTGGGAATTGTCATATGTTTGGAAACTGTTTAGTTTCTTGGTACAGTAAGAAGCGGCATATCATTGCTCTTTCTACCGTCGAGGCTGAATATGTAGTTGCTGGTAATTATGGTGCACAAGTCTTATGGTTAAAGCAACAATTATTGAATTATGATTTAAAACTCGACTGAGTTACAATCAAATGCAATAACACTAGAGCAATAAGCCTAACTAAGAATCATGTACTTCATACACGTACTAAACATATATAGATCATGTACTATTTCCTTAGGGGTCATGTTGATAAAGCGGTGTTATTTTTTAATATGTGGATACGAAAAATTTACTTGCTGATATCTTTACAAAACTGTTATCCTCTAAACCTTTTCAAAAGATACATAGGAAATTGGAAATCCTAGATTCGTCGTGCTTTAAATTGATTTAGTTTCCTATTTCATTTCATTTGCTATATGTTTATGTTGTGCACTAACATTTCATTGTAGTTATTTACTCTAACCAAAGATATTGATATGTTTCTTTAACTCTAACATTCTTTTATATCATTGTTTGTATTTTGTTCTTAAATGTTCATTTGCTTACTCCTTATATTTCTTATTGCATTCATTCATAAGTTTCTATTTTGATTTTTCATATGTTGCATTTAATACATTTTTAAATGCTTGCTATTAATTATGTGAATTTGAGCATCATTATGATTGTAAATGCATTATTTAAATTTTCCATTCATATAAGTTTTGATGACTTTTTGTTGTTGAACATTTGCATGTCTATTTGCTTATTTGTTGCATATAGCATGTCAATCTTTGCATTTTATATTCTGTCTTTGTTTTTGTACATTCTTCTTAGCTATGATTAGATCATTTGTTTCTCTGAAATATCATATGTGTTGTTAATTTCATTTGCATTTAAACTCATTAATATTTATCTTTTTTTTTTCAAAGGAAGAAAGTTGTAATGTGATTCTAGATTTTCTTTATGCGTTTTATTTTATTGTGTATTGTGAAATGTTTCATGGGGCACAAGCAATTGAATAAAAACAGCGATCATACTTTTCTTTTGCTTAAAGTTGACTCAATTCCAAGTGAAATTTTGCCAAACATAAAAAAAGAGGAAGACTGGAGTTGCATGTCTCTAATATATTAAGGGGGAGACCCTATGTGATTTTGTTTCTTGTTCCTTAAGCTTTACTTTGAATTTAGTTTTATATTTGAGTCTCATCTTCAATTGCATATATTTTAGGATCGAGTTTTGGATCCATAGTTTAGCATGTATAATTCAAATTATTTATGTTTGAGTATGAACATTATGCTTTAAGTTAATTAGTAGAGTTTTTGAAACAAGAATCATAATTGAGTTTGATTAAAGTCATGTCAATGGTAGAATCTCGAAACATAGTTAGAAACTTGGGATTTTGAGATTTTGGATGTGTGATTCGAATCACAGAATCCCTAAGTCGAGTCAAATAAGGCAGAAAGGAATCAGGATTTTTGTGAGCTTTGTGAGTCAAATCACAACTAGCTATTAATTCAAATCGTGCACATTGTGAGTCGAATCACAGTTTATACATGATTCAAATCAAATGTCCTTCTCCAGCCACTGCCAAGTTTGAGTTGAATCATAGTTTGTACATGATCGAGTCACATATCCTTCTCTAGACACTGCCAAGTTTAAGTCAAATCATGACCAAGCCTTGGCTTGAATCATGACTTGTGTGAGTCGAATCATGCCTTAGTATTGACTCAAATCATAAAGAATGAGTCTCTCTTTAAGTGTTGATCTTGTTCCACATTACTTTTTCATTTGACTCACCAAATGCTCTTAACTCGAATCAAACGTGACTTTTTCACTTCATTTTGTGCTTAATCTCCAGCACATATTAATCACTTTTAACTCTCAATCTTTCATAATGTTAGAAAACACATTCTTTCATTGATGATTTGAAAACTCACAAACCACTTATTCTTACATTTTCAAAAGGTTTTTGAATATTTTTTGAACACTTGCAAATGATTTATTTAATTTTCTATCTCATTCTTTTTCCATTATTGCATGAATCTAAATCGTATCTTGAAAGATTTGTGATTGATTAAGGAGAATTGTTTTGAATTTAATTTTTCTTTGAAGATTTGTTTAAGATTTCAAAGGTTTGCAAGATTGTGTGGTGTTGTGACTGGTTGTGAAAATTCTAGTTGAAAAGAATAAGTTTCTTCTCTCCATGTTGACCTTGACAGTACTGTGTGGAAGTCTATAGACAAGGTAGGAGTTGTTTCGATCTTCGGACATGCCAACACTCAAGATATTAGCGTAATTGTGTGAAAATTGTCGCTGTCAGAAACTTAGGAGCATGTTTTTAGGCCTAGAAGATTCAAAAGCGATCTCGAGTAAAGATTTTGCATAGAGTTCAGTTCATGGAGCTGTGTAAAAGTCAAGATGTAGAATATAAGAAATTTTATATTTATCATTTTATTTGTGGACTAATGATTGTATGAACTCTTGTAATATTGTTGCAAATCATAGTGGAAGACCAAAGAGTTTTCAATGGGCAACCATTTGAGAATGGATTAAGCACAAGACGAGAACGAACGTGTCAAACCACTATAAATATCGATGTACATCTCTCTCTCTCTCTCTCTCTCTCTCTCTCTCTCTCTCTCTCTCTCTCTCTCTCTCTCTCTCTCTCTCTCTCTCTCTCTCTCTCTCTCTCTCTCTCTCTCTCTCTCTCTCTCTCTCTCTCTCTCTCTCTCTCTCTCTCTCTCTCTCTCTCTCTCTCTCTCTCTCTCTCTCTCTCTCTCTCTCTCTTCATTTAATTACGTAGTTGATTGCATGATTAGGTGGTTGTTATTTATTTCTAGAATTGCATGCTAATAAGTTTATCGGTTAGTACCAATTTGTTGTATAAGTTGTAAGTTTTGTTAGAATTGATAATTCAACATTTTTTTGATGTGGGTTATGTTTGAAAACTTTGATAATAAAATCTTACTTGTATTGAAAGTTATTCAATAAGATATCTTGTGAAATTGAGTGATTGTGTAATACAACTAAATTGTAATTTTTGGTGTAATTCAATAGTTTAATTTGATTGTTGTGAACTGTTTAAAGATACTCTCATAACCTCGAATCGATTAGCATAATCTCTTTCTACGCAAAGTCTGCTTCCACAATACAAAATATATTATTTTTGAAACTCTAATAAAAATATTTTTCAAACAAAAGTTTTATTTTATGAGGTCTATTCACCCCTTCTAAAAGGACCCAAAAAAATTACATAGTGGAGGCAATTTTCAACTGTTATTAATGTATAATATAAGAAAACAATTAAAAATAATCATTTTAATTTCTAAATATTTAATGTATTATTACTATAATATTTAATTTTATCAAAATTATAAAGACATAGCTAAGGTTTATAAAGTTATCTATCCAATAAATACAATAATTAATAATATGTGTGTATACTAATAATGTATATAGCATATGTAACATAAATGAAGCCTTATTTGTGGGGAACCTGCCCACCGACTCTCGTTAACTTTATTAGATTACATTCTTATCTAATAATATTGTCTCTTGTGTTTCACCCTGAAATGGTAAGGAATGTACATAATTGTCATTTATATATATAACTTTTCACGTGAAATTTGAGGTATGCTCCCCAAACCCCATAATTCACTATATTTTTCGTACCAGAGATCCACTCCACCACATCAAGACTCTCTATTCAATCATTTCACGAAACATTTCTGATTCCCTAGCAAAACACCCTCCATACAATGGTCACCTTTGGACAACCATCGAAAGTACATATCGATACATATGGAGGCTAGGACACTGGATTGAGTCGTGTACCTCCATCTACCAGTCATGTACCAAGGTAGTTTGGGATTGTGCATGTCTTAAGGGATACCGCTATTGTTGTGCCTCCTACCTTATCTTATATAGATATTGATCTTTCGTGTGAGGACTACCAAGAGAATTTGGTTCCAAAGGCGATGCGAAGTATTCTAGCTGATCATCTACTGTTTCTGTACTCAGTTATATACGATGGATTTTACAGAGTGTTACACCTTTGCATGAGGCAGACCAAGTAATGGATGTATTGGCAAGATGTGTTTGTATTGTTTCTTTAGTCCAGTGTGTCAGCATTAGAGGAGAGGTACATGAAGACACCACTAAATGAGACACGATGTGGCATAAGGTGCATTAATAACAACTAAGAGTGCAAAGTCTTAAACTTATGTTATAATACAGTGATGTTGTTTTCAAATAATGTTTTGCACTAAGATCATATTATTAATTGCTTTTGGTGTAAAAAAGAGGACAAGAACAATTGATTCAAAAATTAAACATTTACAATTAAAAGGCTTCTTACATCACGTGACTTTGAATCATGCAATAAAAATTATTAGATGGTCTGTTAATATAAACTTTAATCTTATTTTGAGTAATCATAAAACTTCAAATGAATCACCAGATTATTGGGAAAAATCATATAATATATCATATATATATCTATCAAACTAAGCAAGAAATGCGCAATCTCATCAACACTATCCCAACATTCAAACTAGCTCTAATTCTGAAGGAACAATCCAACAAAAACCAAAACAAAGTAAGCAAGAAATGTGCATTCGCGTCAACACTATCCCAACATTCAAACTAGCTCTTTTTCTGAAGGAACAATCCAACAAAAACCAAAACAAACAAAATCAGCAGGCTACATAGAAAGCTTCATTATCTTTTTCTCAATATCAACAGTTGGCAATTGTGTGATCTCTTACTCCCTTGTAGGAATAGAACGACCGAAAGCCTTGATTTCTTGTTGGAGCTGCAATAAATCAATACAGAGTAATATAATATAATATAGTATAGGAAATGCATGTTGTTTATCAAGAGGCAAAAAACAACTGATTCTTTAACCATATTGCATGTCTGTTAAAATAACACACAACAGTACTTACCATAAATAGGTAATGAAGTTTGGTCTTCAGTTGAGTGTATTCATGTTGCAATTGTTGTAGACATCTACGACACCTACAATCAACGTTTCTTTGTCGGTGAATGTTCCAACATTTATAGGCAGAAAGTAAAATCTATTGTTTTGTTGGCGTTTAGAAAGAAACATGTATAAATTTTTCTAAACCTATCATTTTAGGCCCAATAAAAAGTAAGCTGTAAACATTATCATACAAAAACAGCTCACATTGCGGTTACTGTAATCATTCATTTTCCATATAATACAAATCAGAAAATTGATGAAAAGTCTCCGAAGCTCCACTTGTCTCCGCTTTCTCAGTGATCTCCTTTGGATCATTCAATTATTTTTGTCTCCAATACTATTTATCAATAAAACTAGCAGGCTAAGATGGTGTTTCATTTGGTTCATAGGTAGGATGTTAAGATAATACATAATCATCCCATTACGTTGGCACAAACTCATGTATGAATGTAAAATTGAACTCACCCTTCGAGGTTCTGAGCCTCACAGAAACTTCTGAAGGTGGCACATACACTTGTAACTCGAGCAGCACCAACACTGCGAAACAAATAATAATAACAAGAACTATTTCGCGAAGCTATAGCAGTAATACATTAAAGAGATAATCAAATAAAACCACAACACAATACCTAGCACTGCTTCCCTTCTGTTGATGAGCATGAGCATCAATTTGTTTGAAATTCACAGGTACTTGTGCTCTACACATATAGACAAATCAAATACAATCATTTTAACAATTTCATAAACAAAATTTCACCCTCTCCCTCAAGAGAATTAACACTGTTGCATGCCCAGAACTGAAGTACAATCAATTGATTGAAGAGAATAATAATAATACTTACAGTGCATGTGACATGTTGCTGAGTAGTTTATCAGAATCAGCAAAGAACAAAGTGATAACCTCATACACAAAATCTGGACTACTGTCATCTTGAAGTTTCTGAAGCTGACTGAACTGATCATCCAGGAAACCCTACTCCCCCAATAATCAAGATTTTATAATCTTATAAATTTGAATGTAACTAATAATTGAGAAAAACAAGGAACAAGAACCTGTTGAAACATAGCAGCTTCGTGGTCGCGTAGCTTCCTCTGTAAATGATCCATGTTGTTGTCTAAGATTCTGGAAGAAAAAGAGGTTATTGCGTTGAGATTGAAAAGGAACAGAAAGAGTAATAAATAGTAGTGAAAATTAGTGTCTGTTTGTCTGAATTCGGAGATGAAAACGTTACTGGTTTTGGTTTGTTAGGTTTCCGAAAAGGGGGATGGATTTATCCTTCTGGCTGGTTGTGTCTATGTACTTTCTCTTTAGTCAAAACTCTAAATTATTTTTATTAAATTTTCTTTTTTTCATTTGACTAATTTTGATTTTGAGTAAGAGTCAAATAGATAGACCCAATTATATTTAATATGATTTTTTTAAATACGTGGATAATAATTTTAAATTTATAAACTAATTTAAAATAGATTTTAGTATATTAATAATAGCATTACAAAAAATGTTATTTATACTTTTTAAATAGATCCAAATGTATTTTTATGATTTTTTTAGTTAAATAATTTTTTTCTTAAGTTTGAACATTTTATATTAAAATAAGTCTAATTTAAACATGATGTAAATAGGTTGTAGACATCTCTTGGTCAATCTCATATGTGAATATGATAGATAAAACTTTTCAAATTTACATTGATTTAAATTTAAATTATAAATATATTTTAAAAAATTAAAATTATATAAAATTAAATAATATTGATTTTTTTTATACTTATACTATTTAAATTATTCCATTCACCTATATATTATAGGATGTGATAAGTGGAAACTGTTTAAATTAAATAAAATTTTAATTTATTTTGAAAACCAAATCAACCCGTGTATATGTTGTTTTACTATTTTTTATTTTTATGTTAGTAAGATATATTATATTAATTTGATTTAATATTTTTATTTTTATGTTAGTAAGATATATTATATTAATCTCTTATTAGTTAATTTATTATTTTCAATATAATTTATTAATTTAATTTAACTTTTTTATTATTTTATATGTGTTGAGGAGATTCATTCAATAATATTAAAGTTTAATATGTTATCTATTATATTTTATGTTAACATGTTATTTTATCTTTTTATTGGGTCTTTATGTATTATTATTAATTTAAAAAATCATAGGAGATTGTAAATTTAAAAATATTTAAATATCAATTTTAAAATAAATCGTATTAAATTAAAACGTTGAATTTTTAAAATCATTCAAAATCAAATTAAATCATAATTTTATCAATTAAATAAAAGTTTGTTGTTAAATCAATCCAAATTGCACTTTAAATACCCTTAAAAAATACAATAAATAAGTTGAGTCTCCTCTCTAACACCCCGAATTTTAATCGGAATATTTTAAATTAATTATTTAATTGAGAATATTCATGTTTCTGTGAATTTTCGGTGGTTTTGTGAAGTATTGGGAAAATGTGCATTTTTGGGTATTTATTTGATTAATAGCATATAATATTAATTTATTAGTATTATTATTAATTAAAATGAATATAAGTGAAATAAGGGTAAATTGGGCATTTGAAGGAGTTAGTAAGGGTAACGAGGGAAAAGTCCAAATTGTGAGGCCCAAGACTAGGTTTGACAAAATAGAGTTCTGATGTAAAATTAGAATTCATTTTGTGTTAACCGTGGAAAGTTTGGTGGTCAGAGCTCTGAGGCAGAAGATTCTCAGAGTTAATCGTGAAAGCTTTGAATCGGCTAAGGTATGAGGAGTATAACTTTTCATGATTTTCCATGTATGTCTTTCGAGGTGTTTATGGTTGATTTAAGATTTAAGCTATTTTGGATTGATTGTGGGAAAATTAGGGAAATTGATGATAAGACTCTGAGGTTGTACTAAATATTTGATATGAGGATTAGGAAACTTAGGCCTTCGTGGCCAAAACCTTAGATTATTATATGTCTAACCATAAGAATATGTGATATGAGAAATTATGATGTCTTTGGGGCAATTGTAGGCAAATTGTAATTTGGGACATGAATAGGTTGTTGTATTGGTGTAGTAAACCATAGGTTTTGTGCCGTTATCGCCTTAGGACCTTATGGATGATTTAGGGATGTTTTGGGCATTGAGTAAGTGAATCGTATGGGTAATTGAGTAGAAATTAGTTATGGTGCGTAGCAATTTTTGTTGTCATCGCACTCTTCGCCTAGCGAAGAAAATCAGTTCTGGTGCATAGCAATTTCTGTGATGGATTACCATGAGTATGACAGTGGGCTTTTGGGTGATATATACATGATGACATGATGGTTTATATGATGCATTGATTAAATTAACATGATGAGATTGTCATGATTTGATGAATTATGTGATAACATGAGATATGATGATTTATGTGATGATGATGAATATGATGAATGATGATGCACCATATGTTGTATTATGAGGATTATTATTGTGACGTGTGCATCATGAATTCATGTGCATCCGGACTTCGGTTCAGGACCTCAATTACTTTGACTTCAATCCCATTGTGTGGATGTGAAGTGTTTTGATGTGCTCCGGTTCTCTAGTAGAATTGATCCTATTGATGAGGGATCTATGGAGGGTTGATGACCCAGTGTCCATCGAACTGTGATGATTGGTACCACATGCATTGGTCTTTTTGTATGAATTATGACGTTGTGGCCTTCGAGGCATATTTGAGGAATATGAATGTGTTAAATATAATTATGATGCCATTTATGTATTGATTGTTATACATTGATTATTATGAATTGTTTTACTCACCATGTCTGTTTGAATGTTACCTCCACGTGGGTAACGTGCAGATGAACAAGTTTAGCCGTGGATGTCGTCGAGGAGTTATTTTTGAAGTTTTAGTGTCGTTAGCCTTTATGGTTAACTTAAAGGGTCTTGTTCTGATATGTAACATCGGATTGGGTTCTTTGAGTTAAACTTATTTTGCTAACTTTTCCTTATGAGGAAAAACCTTGATTTATGCTTTGATGAGAAATGTACGCCCTTTTGGTGATTTTTTAATGAGATTTATTTATTCACTTTGATTTTTGTCTTATTTTGCCACGATAATTTTGAGGTAGAAAAAAGGTGTTACATCCTTCACATATTCAATATCACCTCATTCTCATTTTTTTTACATTGTATAAATATTTAGAAAAATATAATTTAGTTGTTTTAATGATTTAAAAATATAACATAATAAAAAATTAAATGAAATTCGTTTAAAAATTTAAACGAATATATGAATTTTGTGTGTTCTCAATTCTTTTCAGGAGAAATGAAAAACAAAATAGAGTTTTTGTTTATTCAAACTAAATTCTAGTAGAGTGTTAGACCTTCTACTTTTTTTCTCCAAAGGTAAATCATATTTTTGAATTTCTCAAACTATATTGGTGGATTATTCTTTCAGAAACACTTAATATTAAATATTTTATAAATGTATTTTTAATATTATAAAGATAATATACTTATATTTATAAAGATAGTGTTTTTAGTTTATAAATGTATCATATATTCAGCTATTACCATTTATAAATAATATATTTAATATCATAAAATATTCTATTTTATAGAAGATATTCATTTTTTTATTCTAGTAACCTAAAAACCGAAATTTATCTCTTAAAAGTGAATTAATTAGATATTGTATGTTCGAATTCGTGCATTTGCATCTAAAGTCTATCAACTAAGCTGATTATACAAAAGGTTAAATATTATAAAATAAAAATATAATAGTTCTTTTATAAAATTGATTGCAAAAAATAGATCAACGATAATAGGTAGTTGGTCCAACAGATTAAGTTAATTTTGCGCAACATGGAAATTAGTATTAAATTCTAATATTAAGAAATACTCATTTTTAGTTCTGACTATAATTCAAATAAAAGCATTTCCCTATAAGTTAAAGGCGAATAAATAAAAAATTGAAGAGAGTTTGAGAAGTGAACATTGACAATTATTCTCGACAGTGCGCACACTCATTCATTTGGTCCATCCCAACTCACTAAGTTTAGTATGAACACTATAAAAAAACACAATATCAGAACAGAATATCTCAAAGACTAACCTTCCCTTTCCCACGTGGAGTAGATATAAAAAATTAAGGTAAGAAATATGGGATTCATAGGACATTACCAACTAGGCTCTGAAAATAATTGGTGAAATTTGAAGTCTTCAATTACATTAATCTCTTTGGATTATTCCAGAAACTGAATTAACAATCTCAACTATGCTAATGTGATTAAATATTCATAAACTGAATGAACGATTTTTTCCTCAACAGAAAATAAAAGGGTTGAAATGAAGGTTTTAAAAGGTCATTTAATGTGTGCTTCAAATTTCTCTCTCTTGGGAATGAGACTATTATGTGCAGAGTTTGTACTTTTTTACTGTAATCAAGAATATTTTTTACATGTACAAATCAAGAATAATTTTTACCAAACCAAAATTAATAAAAAAATATATATATAACACAAAATCCATGCACAGTTCATAATTACATGCAAGCTTGATAAAAGTTAAGCTTAGGATTAATTGACTGCAATTCTGCAAACCCATACATTACCTATATGGCTCCAAACATTGACAAAGCCATCAAGATATTTGGATGCCCAGCTACAGCAATGTACAGGGGTGAGAGACAGAGATGCAGGTCATTAAATTAAGCAACAGATCAGCATAACTGTTGCTCATGTGCAATTTCTAATTCACGATCTTGCACATTGCTTTTTGCATTTTCGGTAATAGATAATAAGATGATTCTATTGATTCCAAGACTTCCACTTCGGATGTTGTAATCAACCTAAACAAGAATAGAATTCATAAGTTCATTGTCAAAAGTTCTTAAATGGATGATCCATATGAAAGAAAAGCCCCCTCCCCACCCCCATCTCCAAAGTTAAAAGATGCAGCGGCCACTATATTTTATTTTTACCTTAGTCCGAAAAGCCAAAAAGGCCCCCAAGTGTTTCACCATCCTCGTCATCTTCTGGTTGCTCTCTTTCATGGCTACTGTCATCTTCTGGTTGCTCTCTTTCATGGCTACTGTCATCTTCTGGTTGCTCTCTTTCATGGCTACTGTCATCTTCT